ACTTCTGACTTCCGATTTATATGTGCCTTCCAACAAGCGACACAGTACGACACAGTGATCATGTCATCTTAGTTTAACATTGGCAAATAACAAGGATGTAATGATCCATTGTGTCACACCGTGTCATTTGTGTCGCTTGTTGGAAGGCACACTATGACTAATGACTTATTGTAGAAGGCTTATTAATTTTACTCAGTCAGTTTTACCTGCGATGACTATACTTTTGACTTTCACAACGTTATTATTCGTTTCTCTTTATAGAATTTGCTTACCTACAATCTACAATTCAAGAATTCAGGAAAAATGAAGGGTTGTCTTTCTGTACAAATTTTGCAAGAATGACGAAGCATGCTCACCAAGCGCGAACACAATGGCAATGTCCGATCGTAAAATGAGCCGGTTCCAGGAAAAAGTGCCTCTACCGCAAACCGAAAGGAACGACCGTGATAAGGCCCCATGCGGTTCTCCGTTGAGAAAAACACGCATCCGACTTTAGCAGGAGAGCAGTGCAAACTTTCCCTAAGTTTTCCGGTGCTGTAAAGTACGCGCTGACATTGTGTATGCATCCATGTTTTGGCACACACAAGATGAGAAACGTTTGTGTTTAAGTTACGTTATTATTTCCGCCTTGCCTTTCCATTGCGAGCGACTTCGTCTTTAATTTAGATTTTAAAAAATGAGGAGAAAGAATAGCTTATTTTAAGAACTCTAATTCTAGATATATATATGTCAATGTACTTTATACAACAGCTGTCTTTTCGTTTCGCTGCTTAATTGTTTATTGGGCACGCGATTCATACCGCATCGCGAGATTGGAATTCCGGCGATAATTGGTACGAAAATTGATTCTCGATGCACTTCTGCAGTCAGTTTTATTTGTTAGTAATTGTAACAATATTCAAGTTAGTTAGATATGACTTAAGAAGCTTTATGAAATAAATTAGCGCTTCGTTGTAATTCTTTCGATAGTCTTACAATGTCGAAATATTTATTATCGGTTAACGGTAGATCTATTTTCGAGACTAATAATCTCCCGGTCGCTAAGTGTGCGTTACATGCTTTTTTCAAGAAGAACAAGTAGACTATGACTTATACGTTTACACTGCTCGATTTACGCCGAAGTTATAACATTGATATAAAATTGGCCAATCATAGCTATTGCTCTGAAAAACGGAATAACTGTGATTGGCCAGTTTCATAACATCGATATTGTAATTAAATCGAGCCATGTATAATGTATCTATATAGATATATGCAACAAAATGTATATTTTATACTTATTTGCACATATTTATATTTATTTATTTAGAGAAATCAAATTTATAATAATAAATTATGAACCAAGTTAAATGCTTATTGCTATACATTTTACATGAAAAATTTGATAAACAATGAAACAGACGTTTTTTTAACCTCTATCAAGTCAATGTTAACAAAGATTAATTATTTTGTACGATACGTAATTCGAACGACAGTTAAAAATATAAAAATTAAGTCATTAAATCGCTCGAAAATCTTAACTCGGACATAAGTCACAATAGATAGAAGGTCAACAACACAGTAATAACTATGTATAAATTAAATAAAATATCTGCAATCCTTTCATCCATCTGTGTAAAATAAATAAAATTATGCTTATCCTGTAGTCAATTCGTAATAAGTTATGGCTGAGGAGGAATCGGCACAATCTCGACATTAAAACATACAAAATTTGCTTTTTTTATGTAGACAGTTGGATATAAAAAAAATTCATTTATTTATCTATTGTTAATAGAATTAATGTAAATAATATTTATGCTAGAAATTATATATTTTTACATGTCGACCTTTCTCTTCTCTTATGTACATATATATGAAAATACGTACGTAAATGTGACTATCTTCCAGGTAACCAAATAGAAACAGATTTTATAAAATGACCGCAAATACAAATTTTTTTTAGCAGTACCAACAGAATTACAATAAAATTTGCTAGCGGAATACAAAGACGACAGATTGAATGCAGAGCCCGAGCAAAATTTACCATTTCGTAATTACTAAAATGGAACATATCATTTAAATGATTACAAAATAGCAGAGTCTGTATGCTTGGTTTTTGTTAGAACACTAGCTTAATGCAGAAGCAGATACTATAATCCAGGTCTGTCCAATTTGAGCTCCAGAGCTAAAATGCAAAGCCATCGATGTAAAAAAATTCAGGTAGGTAAAATTTTGAGGACTGTAAAGTGTTGATACGCATCTGAGTGACGCTTATCAACAGTTCATAGTTTCTAAAATCATTGATTTTTTTTACGTCGTTGGCTTTGCGTTTTGTCTCCGGAGCTCAAATTGGACAGACCTGCTATAATCTGTCGGAATACCATTCTACTCAAATCCGTTGATAAACTGTTAACGTACTGCAGCTAATATTGCTTCGTAGCTCCCGTTTCCTGGATATTTCTGACATTCCAGACACTCGTCGCAGTGGCGCGACGACAGGCTTAAATAAATTGTTTGTTAAAGAGTCGAGATATCGAGATAATGGGACGACGATGAGTTAACGAAGGGCAGAAGAAAATGATCGAGGATTTCAGCACGAATGACCGCTCATTATCCTTCCTCTGTACTTATAATAAGGGTCAGCGATTACCGAGCTGACCAACGAGGCGCGCATATTGCGCAACGTCCACGGAAATAAATCTAGGATAGGCTGCTGGGAACGCCGTGGACCGTTGCCTTCTATTTCACCGGTCCGCCTTCTCCTCTCCCCTCCCCCTTTACGTCCGACCGTCCCCCTCGTAACATCTTCCGGCCATTTTCATCGCGCGTCCTCCGAGCGCCGCCATGACGATCGCGTCCGGCAAAGCGACGATCATGCACCTTTGCGAGAATCGACGCCGGCCGGGCCGGGGGTCGATCGAGAGAAGCCTCGGATGGCCTCGAATCGACCCGGGACAATTAACGAATCGTAATCCCGCGTCACGCTCGACGAACGCGTTCGTCCGTCGAGCATCGGTGTCGAGGAAAAAGCGCGTCTATTACGCGTCGGACGCCGGGAACGGAACCCCGAGCCGCCAGAGCGTCATCGCCCGAGCTCTCGTAGACCATCCACTCTTTCGCGTTTCATCGCTGGCGCCCTCAGCTGACGCGCGTCTTCGGCTTTCTTCGCATGCGCCGTCAACGAATGCTATCGGCCTGCAATGCAACTCGTACTCGGCCGCATATACGTCTGATACATCGACAACGAGGTCGTTCTACTCGATACGCCGACGCAAGGCGTCGCTCTTTACAAACGACAAGAATAGGACATGTCGTAGCACCGTTAGGACAATAATGCTCGTATCCCTTTGTACTCGGTTGTCGTTGCGAGCTTGGAGGCGAGGTTTGCAAATGTCTACCGCTGGCGAAACGACATACTCCACTTTGTGGATCGGACGCCGGCGTTCCTCGACATCCGATCGACAAAGACCCTCCACTCGCCGTGTGTCGTCACCGCCGTCACCGGGCGACTCAGCTGACGCAAAATGGCCGACCAGCACTGACAGCTGAAGTGGAAAGCTCGGCTCCGCTCTGCGAAAACGCGACGCGGAGCGCGGCCGAGATCGTTTCGACGCCCGATGCGCGTGCAGGTGATTCCTCGTGGCGAATTCTCGCCGAAATATGACGTATTTCGCGGGGAACGCAACGCAGTATGGCATCGCCGGGGAGCGGGAGAGGGAGTGGAGGGGTGGGCGGCGCGGCGGTGGGAACGTCTCGCGGAGCGAGGACTTTGCCCCGCGCAACGGCGATCGGTCGCTCGCGTCGGTTTCGTCACCGGGCTTCTCAGCTGACGGCGAAAAACAACCGTCCGCAGGGCGTGCGTAGCGTCGGCAACAGCTGATCGCCGCCATGACGGATTAAGATTAAAAGAACCGTCCACGCAGTCCACCCTCTTATCGCTGCTTCGTCCAAACCGGCCCGACGAAGAATCGCGATCGACGTGAGAGCGTATTCTCGAGAGATACGCGGGCGTGTCGAGTCGGCGTCCGTCGCTTCGCAGAAACGCCGGGAACGCCGGGAACGCCGAGTACGCAAGCCCGGAGTACGCGGAGGGCGCGGTGGGACGAGAGAGGGGAAATTGCACCGGGAGAGAGGGGGGGGGGTAGAAGCGCGGCGGAGTGGAGAGTCTGAGCGAGCAGACGCTCTTTGCCTAGGCTTCTAAGCCTGCGATTTTTTCCCGTTCGTCTCGTTGTCCGGGCGGCGGGCCAATCGGAGTAAGTAGGTCAGCGCGAGCGGCCAATCGGCGCTCGAGGCCGGGTCACGTGGGTTTGTTGTTATCTATCAGCTGTTTTTCCCGGACGGCCGGCCGGCGCAGTGAAAGCCGCTTGGCAGTCTGTCCTCAGTCCCTCCCGGTCGCTCAGCTGTGCGTCACATGTCGGGCGCCGCGAGTCCTTCTCCTGTGCGGATCGCTGTTAAACGTACGAGTCTAACGACCCGGCTAGGACGCCGTCTACCATCGGACCCCCGTTTAACGTCGGCGCGCGTTAGCCACGTATTATTATGCTGTCAGCCGTGTGCACGCCAACGCATCGCCACGAATCGATCACGAAGTGCCTCGAATATGCGGACGGTGTGACGAACGCGGGCGACGGTGCACGCCGCTTTGTTGATACGCTGAGTTCTGTGTTCAGGCCACGGAGGCCGCCGCGCGCTTAAAGATCCTCCTCGTGCATACAGGGATCGCGTACCTATTGCCCTACTCCCTCCTCTCTCCTGCGAGAGAGTGTTTTAAACACACTGCCACCACCGTCGGTGGCAGGTACACAACGGCGTGATTGGTGCGTGTGACGAAGAGAGCTGCTGGTCGCTACGATGACCTAAAGCGAGGCGGCGTGCTCGAGGATTCGAATCCTTTCGAAAAAGATCATCTTTCGGGAGTGCGGCGCGTCGTCAGCCGTTTACCTCGCGCCTATTTGGAATTTTAAACTTTTAAACGTGCATGGTGTATCCCTGCGTTGACTCTGTGAATCGCGCTGTGCATTTTCGGCTATATATTCCACGAGCGTCTCTTCGAACACTGTACCTCGTAACCGAGAGAGGGAGAACGATACGAGCGTTCGAAAACGCGCGTCGCAGGACAGGGACAGTGGAAACGAGTGTGTCGAGTGGACAGGAGCAAGCACGTCAAAGACAGAAGTGTAAAGTGTAAAGTTGCTCGTGTGAATGTTTCGCGTCGCGTTGCGCGTCCAACGAGTGCCTCGCACAACGGGACTCCGCGCTCGAAAACGATCGATGAGAACGATCGAATGATCCTCCGCTACGAAGAAGAAGAAGAAGAGAGAGAGACAGATAGAGAGAGAGTGAGAAATCGAGGGACCGGAATTGTTCTGATTTGCGCGAAACCGAGTGATATCGCGTCGCCTGGTAGAAGCAACGAATAATGTCGACGGGCAAGAGGCTGGCAAAGCGCAGCATAATCGGCACCAGGGTGTGCGCTCCCGGTCAGGACGGCAAGTACTACAGCGGCGCCATTTGCGCCGTGAAGACGCCGCAGACCGCCGAGTCACCGGGGCAGAAGAGCGTCACGGGCACGAGTAAGACTCTGTACTCCGTACGCTTCGACATCACCGGCGGCAGTCCGCCCAGTCCGAAGGAGTACACCGACCGCGATCTCATCGGACCGGGCTTCGGTTCCGTCACTGGCGCGCGATTGGTACCCGGTCAGAAGGTTTATCTAACGTACAACGGTAGGGAGATTCACGCGGAGGTCACGGAGCATCGTCAGCATCTCGACGAGGTGGACGTGGTCATTGCCCCGAACGGGCAAGAGGTGAGTCCGTCGGCAACTTACATTCTGCGTATCTGCGTGTATCTATGTGTGTGTGTGTGTGTGTGTCGCCAACTTCTGATCGCCGCGCGGACGCACACGTGTGACAAGTGGTCAAACTTTATTGGTGCCACTCGCGCGGAACTGTATGCCGTTAAATTGAAATTCTAAATTGCAAATTCAATTAGATTTGTGTATATATACATATACATATCCAACAAACAATCTAGTTATCGTTTTTTTGTATATACATGTATACTTTTTAAAACTTTTGGAGTGAATCTTACTTTGAGGATTGAGAATTGAGCCAATGTTTTTTAAGACTGGCTCAATTTTGATTCTTTAGAGTGAAATTCTACTCCAAAAAATTTAGAAACTACACGTATGTACCGAATCAATGATAAACATTGTTCGCGAGACCATTTCGTTATCGTAGATGTTATCATAAATTGAATGTTGAAAGACCTCACGGTATTTGTCAAAGTTTAAAAGATCTATAGATATCTTGGAAGACAGTGAAGTTCCATGAGCGCCAATTTTCTCGATGAAAAGTGCTGGTTTTCTCCTAACTGTATATGCTAACTTCGATCCACATGACACGCGACGTTCTTAAAAATCATGGACGTAATAAGAATAGACTGCGCATTTCTATAAAGTTGTCTCTATTTGAAAAGTGTGAAGTAACTTGATTTATATCGTTTTCTTTCTTTTTAAAATAGTTAAACAGAGATGCTGAGAGATGTTTCAATTCTTTTTAGTGGAGCATAGGGATTGTGTATCCTGATACGAGATGAAACTTACAAAAGTGAACAAGTTTATTAGGTATTGACCAATAAAGTCATAAGCATTCTATAAGGTTTTCACAACACTGGTAATCAGGAAAAAGTCAGGGAATTTTACAAAATTTCTTGGAAAATTAAAATTTTTGGCTTTAAAGAAGTTTAATATATGTATAACGTCACACCTACGTAGTTTCCAAATACTACCAATTTAACAATTAAAAATGCAAGCAACGTTAATAATAATTTACATTGCTATGTTAAATCTCTCTCAACAAAATATTTAACAATTTCCAAACCAGGACAATATAAAATATAAAAAATGTCAAAAAATTATTGAAAATTAGGAAAAATTGTAAAATTTTGCCTGGAAATTGGAGAAAAGTTATAGAATTTTAGGATAAGGAATTTATGTGATAACCGTGATTCTAATAAATTTTGCTCACTTTTATAATTTTCACTCGTTTCAAGATACACAATCGACCTCCAAATGCAAAGTTCAAGGAATACTCAGAGTCTACATATCTACTACGTCTATGTTAAAAACTGAAAGCTGCGTAGTTCGAGCGTCGAATATGCGCTTCGATGAGAAAATCGAAAGTCGCGGATAATACAAAACAAACTCGGCTATAATAAAACATAAAACAAACGTTTTCGTTCGCCTGGAAAGCGCGAATTCGAAAGTAAAAGCCTCGCGACTTTACGCGACTTCACGCGGCGTCTCGCGACGCCGGTTATAGACATCGCGTCGACGTGATTTGGGTATTCTTGGCGCGTAGCGGGTTAACGATCCTTAAGAAGATTAACGAATCGAAGGCGTAATACCGAGCGTACTCGTGCAGCGCGTACGAGATATGGCGTCATATCCCGGGACTCTCGCTAGCATAAAAGACGCAGGCACAACGCGCTTGCGCGCACGCTAACCGCCTGTAAATCGCACGACGATCGTGCGTACGCCCGGCAGGCCCGACTCCTTCAAAGTGAAGTTGTATACACGCTCGTTCAACGACAGATTCGAGTCACAGAATCCGAGCGCGATCTAATTTCGTTAGGTGGTACGAAACGAACGTTTCGACATCGACAATTTATGCCCGTTTCTACCAATGTAGATTAACTTCAATCATCTCGGCTCCTCAACTTGCTCTTCATCTTTTTCTAATTCTTAGAGCTAGAGATAAAGAGTTGGACCTACTCTCTAAAATCTTTGGAGTAGAATCTAATTCTAAAGAGTGACAAAGAGTGACAATTGTGCCAGGGTGAAGCAGTGGCTCAATTGTCAATTTTTGAGATTAAAATTTCACTCTTTGGAGTTAGGTTTCACTCCAAAGATTTTAAAAAGTAGAAATCCTATAACAGAGTTTGGTCACAAGATGGAAGAAAACTTTTTGATTGACCCGTCATTTTTGTCAACTTCAGTAAGTGGAATAAGATAATATAAAAATTCAAATGAGATAGTATATATATAAAAAGAGGTAGTATACATATCTTCTTTTTCGATTTTGTTTTGTGACAAAATTTCTCGTGACCAGATTTTGTTACAGGGTCTGTAGGTTATCCAAGATTAGAAGTAAAGTACATTGGTTTTTGCGAGCGTTTAGACGTGCCGATCTGAAGGGACCGCTTTAAAGACGCTCAGAATCTGATCGAATCCGTACGCGCGGTATATAAAAGCGCTTTATATCCCGGCGAACGCGACATCCCGGGCGACGACGCCGGATAAAGATACGCGGGCTATTAAAAAGAAAGAAGAGTCGTGAAACACGTCGCGGCCAACGGGAACGCCGATGCGCGCGTGTGTCGTTAATCAGAAAATTTAATTTTCGTGACCCCGTTCCTAAAGTGGACGATCGAGTGGCTTGCCCCATTTACGGTGCGCATGAGCACGATCCTCCCTCTCTCTCTTTCCCTCCTCTCTCTCTTTCCCTTTGCGCTGACGGGATAGATGACGGTACGGAGGGAGGGAAAAGCTTCGCCTCGTCACGCGTTGCATCCCAATTCGAGCGCGCGTTGGTAGAACGCCGGCTCCGTCACCGGAGAATCCAACCGCCGCCACCTTTAACCCTGTTTCGCCTCTCGCCTTCCACCTTCGGTGGAAAAGTCTCGCTTCCCGCGACAGAAAATTCAGGAAGGTGACAACGTCGAACAAATTCTACTCGATATTTGAAAGTTTATATTTTTCTCCAGCGACAAATGACTAATGATAGAAAGTGACAAATAATTTGTATAAATAATAACCCAAATTGTATTTTAATCTATCTATCGCCTCAGGTCCTTTTCTTTAATCATCATTTATCATTTTTGTTTGCAACCTTGTTTATTCTAAACTCTTGACGAAAATAATGCTAATTTTTATAAGTATATAAATTCTTGAAATATAAATAATTTGGTTTTCTCTTTTTTAAACAAAAATGTAGCTATTTTTAAACGCAGTAACCGTTTAACTTTTTTCTTGTAGTTTTTATTAAAGTTAATAAAAATACAGAGATTATTAAAATCTCCTTTAATTTAAATTGTGTTACATTGTAGCAGTTAATAACGAAATGATTTTATGAAATTAATATAATAGTGATAACACATTGATTGGATAATATAAAATGAATCGATATAATGAAAATAGAGATTTTTTAGAACAATATACTATATGTCGCGTTATCAATATCCGATGTTACCGTGTCGAATACAGTGAATTTACGAAGGCGGGCCAAGAAACGTCTCGCCACGGACTTGAGACGGTAAAATTGAAAGTCGATAAGCGGACGGGTTAACGAGTGGGTTAACAGAGGGAAATGCTTCTCGTGTCGTTGACGTCACACGATGCCGTATACGATGCGCGATCCGTCAATTTTCTCGCCGGAGCCGACTCGAATTACGTGCCATCCCACCGCGTCCATTTTTGCACGCTCGCGAAATTGCAGCGCAAGTATATATCGCGATAAATATCGCTTAACGCAAGAAGAACAAACTGTTGAAGAACAAAAATTTCCAACAATTAATGTAATTATTTTACACTATTTACTTGTGCAGTAATATATTCTTTACTAACACGTAGTAATAATTTATTATTTCACAAATAATATTTACCATAAATTCGACGATTTCCCATAATTAGCCCACGGTAATAATTTTTTAATAAAATCGATATAATATTTGCGACGTTTGACGAGAAAAGCTCAGTAATAATTCATAGATTAAAGAATAATTCTCTTCTTAATCCCCGTTTTACAAAATAATACTCGTCAATCCTTAGCAACATCCAACGTTTATATACTCATCCATTGGAATTTCCCAAGAATGGAGGGAGGGATGGGATTTATTTTTTATCCCCTGGGTGCAATACGTATACATACGAATATATAACCATTACACTCGGTGAAGCATGCCGGAGGAATACATAGTGTATTCCTCGCGATACCGCTACGTGGGCGCGGTAAGATTCGTAATGAGAGGCACTGCGACCGGCGGCGCGGCGGTGGCGGCGGCGTGAGCGAGCGTGCGTGAGCGTGCGTACGAGCTTTTGCGTTCGTGCGAGAGCGCGGCTCTATTGCGCGTGCGAAGCGGATACGGTAGTACTCGCCGGTGCACCGGCTACCGGGGTGACCCCACGTGGAACGCATTAACGCGATATCTCTGTACCTCCGTTAGGCAGCTCAGGCGTGACCAGCGCGCGGCGCGGCGCGGCGCGGCTCGGCTCCATTTCGCAGAAACCGCGGTTGCGCCGTGGAAAAACGAACCGGATCCGCGCAGTGTACGCCGCGCGCGCGTC